GAGATTCTCAACGGTCCCGACCACAAGCCACCCAGGATCAATTCTTTCGATTATGAGCAAGCAGTGTCGAAATACGAACCGTGGGTTCGAGCCTAGCTTGAAATAACAATATTTCTTTTTCCTCCTTTTTTATTACAGAAATATAGTCGCTTATATCATCTAAAATTATTCCTAAAGCGGTTTTTTTAAAGCCGTTTTGTATTCTTTTTCCTCCCCACAAACCAAAGAAGAAGACAAMGCTGGAAGCCCCAGAGCGACCTCACTTCGATCGCCGACTTATCTTTGTTCCAAAGATAAAAATACGATAAATACTAAAAAAAAACCATCTATAAAAGAAGAGAAAACCTCTGGAACCAGGGTAGATATACGACAGTCAAGCTAAAAAAAACGTTTTGTTTTTGAGTAAGTTCTGTGACACGAGTGAGGTTCGACGAAAATTAATTAAGCGACCAAAGTCACGATTTTTGAATCGCCGAAATCAAATCTACAATAGTACTATTTTGAAATATGCCCCTATAAACTTGTACAAATGCTCCTAATGGAGTAATATAATAGTACGATATCAGGAGTAAGCCTCTTTCGCAGGCTAATTCAACCACAGGYCACCCGGRATCAATTCTTTAGATTATGAACTCGTGGTGTCGAAGTACGAGCCATGGGTGCGATCCTCGAACGTCGAAAATAATGTTTCAGGAATAGGTGAATAAAACTATATGAAAGACTATATTTCAGTTAAAAAAAACGTTTTCWTTATAGATTTTTTTWAAAAATCGGGATATGTAATCTTTATACTTAATTTCATTAGAATAAACTGACAAAAAATTGAGAAAAACCACCGTTGGGGAGTTATTTAGGAAATTGTAGTCGGTAAGCGTCAGAGGGGTCTAATACTTGTGAATCCACAGGTAACCCAACTGCCGTCATGCTACGCACCATCGTAAAATCTTAATTTTCTGGATATAACAAATACATTTAAGTGTTTAGGTGGTGAATGTAAATAATAAAAAAATGAGTGCATTTAATATAATTTCTTAAAATGACAGTGAAGATAATAAATTACATGAGAAATATGCTTATATTTGTGTTGAATTTCTCTAGTTCCCGATCGATCGTACTCAGATTGTCGAAAATTGCTAAAGATTACGCATTTTGCTTATGCTTTTTCCCATAGCAGATACAAATGAAATGAAAAACTCATTTATAATTGAAATAATAATTACTTTTTCACCATTATTCTTTTCTTTATTCGATATTTTTTATTCGAAGTCAATTTCTGTTGACTCTGGAGGATCTGCCATTTTGTTTTAACTTTCGTCAAGTATTTTCGTCACCAGTCGCCGCGCGGTCAAAAAAACACTTTTCGAGGCTCCTTAACTGACTTGATCACGAGGAATTACTCTGCCAAACAACGAATTGTTTGTTGCGTTTACAGTATTTTGCATTGCTAATATCATTGGTAAATGGGATTTCTTAGGGGCCGCTATTCGCTTGTTAGGTGCTTCTATTCGCTTGTTATCTAATACCATATATGGAATACGTTTAACAACCCCTACTCGAGATTGACTTTTTTGTGTTTTTTTTTTTTTGGACTTCGTGTGCTGATAATCTTAACCGAGAGAAACTGGCACTGGATTTGATTCATAATCGTTTTTAATTTTATCTACGAATTCGATTCACAATGAGGAGCAACATTACAATGCCWTTAATATTGAAAGACTTTGTTTAGCATTTATGRCGTTTTGCTTGGTCACGGCGGTTCTTGTCCAGTAACATCAAATGGACATYTCTTAGTGAGTTATCAAAGTCTTCTCCTGACCAACTTCTTGTCGGGGTTTTACTTTTGTCAGAACAATAACATCCTGTTGTAAAGTGCTCGCATCCATGCCAGCCCCAACCAGGTTCTTTAAACACATAGGCCTCTTTCTTGATCGAACCAGAGGCGAGCTCTGTGTCTTTGTAGCGTAAGCAAGAATCACCTGAACATGAGCACCAGAGTCCAGGATTCGTGTGACAGTCGTCGTCATTGTGACATCCTTGTGGGCCAAGTTTGCACACGTACGTCGGAGACTTTGGGTCGCTGTCAGAAGCAAGTTCGAATTTCTGGATGTCTACATCGTTGCTGGTTTTATCGTGGGGACAACCAAAATGGAGAAAACCTTTGTAAAACTGCTCTAAATTAGCTGCTTTAGCGAAGTGCTCCTTTCCAACATACCTTGACAGAAAAATATATCAGAGCATCTTAAAATTATTATTATTATTATTGTTATTATTATTCTCGTAAATCATTTAGAAAAAAAGCTTCTTGCTCTTGCCACTTTACAATTTACAATTGATTTTAGCCACCAGACCGGGTGGTTTGCCAATCAAAGCTGTCAGAACCAATGACAAAACGACATTCCGAATATGATTCTATAATTATCTGTACATTACCTTATTTTGAGCAAAGACCATATTGGTTCGAAGAAATATTGGATAGGTGATGGGTCGGTTACTGCTTCCTTCAAAAACTGGTTGATTTGTCTAGATGTAAGCTGCCCTGTCAAATCTGCCCTTGTCTTCGATTTACCACCTCGAACGACTAACTTTTTTACCATTTCACTAGATTTCGATGCGTCAACACTTGATTCGCTAACTCCTGAACATGCTGAAATCCCAAGTTTTCCTGACTCTGTTGGACCAGCTAACGACAGGCAAGCTGTGGAAGTGAAGTCTTCCTTCTTGAAGTTTTTGTCGGATTTTGCAAAGACATATTGGTAGATACTGGATCCTGAGATTGCTTCCTTAACAAAGTGAGAACCATATTTTTCGAAAAAGGCCGTGTACTGTCTCCATGAAGACCGTTGCCAAGGATTTTTAACCTCTTTTGGAAGAAGTTCAAAAGTCCGCACGAGATCTGTAGACAGGGGTTTCTTGTTAATGCAGTCTCGCTTGAGCGAAGCGGACAAACTATATGCTTTGAGATCAAGTGATGCGCCTTGAATCTTGGTTTCTCCCGAGGCAACATTGTTTGTGACGGCTTTCACGGATGCYCCAAGAGTATACTCTCCTTGTAGACTCCCACTAATCTTTGTACTGGTRGAAATGGATTCGTAAAGGGACCTGGTACTGCTATAGTAAGATTCATCTCTTTGGATTTCACCAAGTTTTGTGCTTCTCGTGCATTCACCCATTGGAAGTTCCTCAAAGATTTTTGCTCCCGTTGCTGGAAATTGCTTGGTTAGTAAATCTTCCTTATGGATTTGAAATCCTTGACCAAGTGCTCCTCTTGAGGTGTCGGAAGGTTTGGCTTTTATTTCCACTTTCTTTGGTTTCGTTTCTTGAGGGTCATATTCTGGATGATTATCGTGATCATCCTTACTTGGTCTACACTGTTCTACTTGGACGAGGACCAGTAGTAGCAACAGAAAAGACTTGAAATATGGACTCATAACGAAACTGAAATCAAAGACAATATTAGTAATGGTCTTCCCTTCATATTTTTTAGATGAAAGTATATAGTTTTAGTGAGAATATTCTCAAATGGAACTGGATTTTTAAGATTCTGGCAAAACACAGTATTTCTTTTGATAACTTCAATGGAATGACATTGGCTTCAAGCCCGCTTCAAGACTAGTTCTATACCTTACCGAGCCTTAAAAGCAATGCTTTTGCGGTATGAAGATCGAGAACACGTGTGTAACCACCGTTTTGGAGATCAGCTAGCGCAGAATTGAAGTGCGGCTCTATTTCACAAAGCATAGTACTTTATCAATGTAATTGTATTCTTTTTAATTTACCGTGGGACCTTCTAATTGGTTCAATAGATCAGTTTAAGTACGATATCTACCAGACAAAGTTCGACTGGTGGATGTTCAGGTGGGTGGGAACACAATTAAGATATTACCAGTATAAAGTGTTATCTCGGTGGATCACATAGCAATAATAAGGTGAGAAATAGACAATAAGAGATATTAGAAAAATTAGAGAAATGAACCAGGGATAGTAAAAGGAAAAGTAACAAAAAAATACGACAAACTAAGTGAACAAATGAGAATTACTCCATTCAAATATAATTTTCATCACGACCACTATGTTCATGAAATCACCTGTAAAGGTTGACGGGCGGGAATTTTTAACAGTAAAGAGGTCATTTCAAATAACCATCATTCAATTGTCTGCACTTTGTTGTTGTTGCGTACTTTCGGTTTCATTCAGTTTTGCAGGGTTGTTATTTTACCATGGAATTCTTGCAGAACAAAGTTCATTATATTTTCAAAAGATTTAAAATGAACACAYTGAACACGTGTGAAAAATAGGAAAACAAAGAAAACATGTTCATTTAAACGTGGATTGCATCAGGTTTCTAAATCGATTTTACATGTACCTGCACTTCGATCTGTCTGCTAGTCTGCACCACAATTTTTACCACATGATGCTCTTCCCCAAATCTTTAAGGACAATTTTCAAGTCTCACAGCTAAAAATAAGTCTTGTAGTTGTAGATATTATTCCGACAATGCAAATTCATTTCATTCCAGCGTTAGTTTGAGAAAAACTCCTTAGAAAGACAAGTTGTTTTACAGATCTCTCCGGTGCTGTGACAAGAAGATCGACAAGAACGTTGCCAAAACTACTCTCAAGCATGGCTAAATTGCTGTCTTTATTCTCTTATAAGCAATTTCTACAGGTCAACGTACAATTTCACAAGAAAACTGCTAAAGAGTTCTTTTTTACTTTAATAGTTATTTATCACAAAATCATGGGAACATTTTGAAATCTTTTTGGCACTGAGGTTTTAATTGGTTTCTTTTCTATCGAGTTCTCTTAGAAAAACCTAAATAATAGAAAATTGCACTTGAAAAGATATCAGAGCATATAGTCTTGGTTGAAAATGTGTATTGGAAATCGCCAAGTCAAATATGTGAAATGGAGATTTTCTAACACTCAAAATTAGACTGACTTACAGCGAAAATCGTTGCATCGCGACTTCTTTGTTTTGAAGTTTGTCTGGATTTTGTAGTCTTTCCTTCAGTCTGAGGGGCGGAGCTTTTCGAAAACTCGTTCACTCATTGCCTGATTTGTATCAAGCTCCGCCCCCAAGTCGCAGAAAAACCTAAATCTCAACGATTTCCTTTGAACATTGAAGTCGCGATGCAACTGCTACGGTATGAAATTGTAAGGAATATTAAGAAAATCAGTAAGACAATGATTATTTTAAGAACCTTTTTTTTTAAATGTCTGGGGAAAAGGTTCTTGTATAAAATTGACGTTTTTCAGAACCAAAAAATCTGCTTTCAAATACAACAGCGGTTTTTCGCTTCGAATTCGAAAATGGAGTATATATATAGGCTGAAACGGATAAAAAATATAACTGAAAAATTGTTGATGGATATAGGGATTATATAAGATCAGTAACAGTTTATGGGCTGGGTTGGATCACATTGATGTCAAATTTGAAGGTGAGAGGCTAAAGCACTCAATTTTGAAAGACTGTGGAGACATGGAAAATAAGACGAAAATCGATGATATCAGACGGCCACGTTATGTTTGTTGGCAAGGCAAATTCCTATCACTGGTGCAGGTTTAGTTATGAAATGGAATTTCTTTTGTACAAGTACTRCAAGCGCATGCCCTGATTAAAGGATTTGGGAGATCATTCAAAGACTGATAAACTGTGATAGTTCGTATACTTTTATTGATTAGTATACAATCCAGTGTATAACCATGGTCTTCTCGAGGTCGTTAACCGTCGCTCTCACAGATAACATGAGAAAAGGTTCAAAATAGGAGTTAAATGTAATGTTCAACGAGGCCTGCAATTCAACCAATTGCAGATAATTGTAGAAACCTTGAAATGCTGTTTAGTCCGAATAGATGGCCTTAAAAGGGATCTAATATTCCTGGAACTTCCTAAGAACTCATCTTTTTAAAAGCGATTTTTGACTTACTGTATTGATAGCAGACGCGATCTATTTCAGTTAATGCACTTTTTTTACTTTTTAGCATCACCATGCTTCAATATTGATAGATTAAGTTTCGCAATGCAGGCGATGACGTTTGGCTTGGTCACGGCGCTTCTTTAACAACATCGAGTGGACATCTCTTAGTACATTATCGAGGTAATCTCCTCGCCAGGCTGACGTCCAGTCCTGCCTCGAATCTGAACAATAACAGCTAAGTCCAACTCCACCAAGCTTGCATCCTTGCCAGCCCCATCCACTGCCTTTGTAAGCATAAGCCTCTTTCTTGATCCCTCCAGCCTTGAGTTTAGTGTCTTTATACTTTACACAAGAATCACCGGAGCATGAGCACCAGTAGGCATGCTCATAATGGCAGTCATCGTTAACTTTGCATCCTTCTGGACCAAGCTTGCATACGTACGTTGGGGATTCTGGGTCGCTGTCTTCAGCAAGGTCGAATTTCTGGATTTCTTTGCCGTTGTTGGTTTGTTTGTGGGAACAATCAAAATGGAGAAAGCCTTTGTARAACTGCTCCAAATTAGCTGCTTTAGCGTAGTGCTCCTTTCCGATATACCTTTTAATTAAAAAAATAAACAGTGAAAGTGCATCTTTGCAGAATGCTTTAGAATTCTATAAGTATAACTATATTGTTACATTTTTCATATGTTTGAATAAAATTGTGAAATTTGATTGGGTTAAGGAGTGGTATTTATCCTTATAGCGGTATTCCAAATTCCACAATTTTATTCAACCATTTTAAAAACAAATAATAGCATGTTTTTTTACGTGGAATTTGGGATAAATACCACTTGTAATATTTCAAAAGTGTCACAAATTTAACTCGCTTYGCTTGTGAAGTTTTGTTTGACAGTTTGAAATAGCACGCGTGGTATTTATCCCGCTATTACCTGTACTTAAATACTGAGCTTATTCTCATTTGTAAGCGCATATGATTTTGTTGATACTTGCAGTATAATCATAATTATAATTATTATTGTTAGCATCATAAAAGAGTGAGGCACCGGTCTCTACATCTGATAAAGCACTCCTTATTAGTATTCTTTATATGAAGAATACTAATAAGGATGACTTTACCAGATATAAAGGTCCATGGCCCTAGCAAAGGTCTCAGGTTTGATACCTGATAATTGACCAATGCAGGATGTTAACCGATTGCAGTTAAACAGCAACCAGGGCTTCTGTTTTACTTAATGCGTATTCAATGTGGGATGACAAGAGTGCTTTGTAAAGTGATTCGCGCATGATCAGTTTGCCCCATTTATCTTAAGACTTATTTTTACGGCAATTTCTCCAAGAATCTTTAACGGATTTGAGTTTCCTATTAGTGTTGGAGTTTTTGAAGCCATTTAAAACACTCGAGATCGTGTTTTTATCAGTTATAAATTTATACCTGGTAAAACGCTCTCTCCCATGTTTAACGGTTCAAAAGCCCGAAAAGACAAAAACAACAAAACAACAAAAACCCCACAAACATTGTAAAATGTACCATATAAGGTTATCAAACTGAATGCTCTTGAAATTACCTAATTTTAAAAATGTCCCATATTGGATAAAAGTAGTATTGTATAGGTGATGGGTCGGTTTCTGCTTCCTTCAAAAACTTCTTGATCTGCTCTGCTTTAAGTTCACCGGTCAATTCTGCTCGTGTCTCCGATTTGCCACCTCGGACGACTAACTTCTTTACCATTGATTGTGAAAAGGATTTCTCGATATCCTTTTTAGTCACTCCCGCACAAGCAGAAATTTCTGCTTTTCCTGCTTGCGTTGGACCAGCTAATGACACGCAGGCCTTGACAGCGAAGTCTTTCTGGTTGAACTTCTTGTCGGATTTGGCAAAGACATATTGATAGATACTGGAACCTGAGATTGACTCTTTGACAAAGTGGGATCCATACTTCGACAAAAATAYCTTGTAAGCTCTCCAAGAAGAAAGCTTCCATGGTTGTTCGACCTCCTTGGGTAGAGCTTCAAAGGCTTCTACGAGATCTTTAACCAATGGTTTCTTGTTAATACAGTCTTTCTTTAGCGCAGAAGACAAGCTGTAAGCTCTGATATTAAGCGACAGACCTTGCACTTCGGTTTCCCCTGAGGCAATGCTGTTTGTGACGGCTTCTACAGTTGCACCAAGAGTGTATGCACCTTTTAGGCTCCCACTAACCTTAGTGTTGGTAGAAATTGAATTGTAAAGGGACTCGGTACTGCTATAGAATGAGTCATCCTTTTGGATAGCACCAAGCTTATCGGTTATTATACATTCATCGATCGGAAGGTCCTCGAAGATCTTTGCTCCCGATGCTTTGAATTGCTTGGTTAGTAAATCTTTTTTGTGGATTTCAAATCCTTGACCAAGGGCTCCTCTTGATGTTGTTGAAGGTTCGGCTTTGATTTTTATTTTCTCTAGTTTATCTTCAGCGTCAAATTCTGGCTGATCGTCGGGATCTTTTCCACTGTGGCTGCATTGAGCTGCGCCTGTTAAAAGGATTAGTGACCAAATACTTGTAAAATTGAAATATGAACTCATAATTGTAGATCCAAGAAGAAACTAAAAACAAAGAAAATGCATTTTTCAGTTGAAATATTCTTAACACTTAAGAAAAAAAACACAAAGGAAGCAAAATTATTAGTACGACCATGTTTTGCAGTTATGGATTAAAGGGTTTTGAAAGTCTTCACTATTATAATAGTGGCTTTACAGTAGCCTGTGTACATCCGTTTCTAACCCCTCCAAAAATATCGTGTAGAGAACGTCGTTCTCTACCCGATATTTTTGGAGGGGTGAGAAACGCATGTAGTTCTCTCTCCGATTTTTTTGGAGGGGTGAGAAACGGATGTACACAGACTACTTTAAAGTATTTCTTAAAATGACATCATCTATCAGCTACACACTCCCCCAAATAACCATTAGAAAAATGTGTGGTGCGCGATAGTGTACCTACCGTTTTTAGCTGGTAAGTGGACTTACTGCCATATCTCAGTAGGATAAAGGGACGTTTTCCATGATCTAATCATGTTTATGGCCTTTAAGTTTACCGTGGATTTCTCCAATTGGTTAGTACTATAGTGAAGCGTTGTCTATGCAAGTTGATTGGTGGGTTGGGTCAATTGACAGGCGACCAGTTAATCGTCTTGCAACCTCTGCGGGTTCTTCGACAATAGACATTTGAACACTAAAAGATGAAMATCTAAATTATTAGAAAAGAAATCCTCAATAAAAGGAAAAATAGAAGAAAGGATACGATGAACTTGGTCTTATTTTTTTTGTTTTATTATTTTTGACGCGACCACATTGCACCTCCGTTTCACTAGAATGTTGTCATATGAAAGTTAACAAATAATCCTTTAAGGCAACTTGATTAAATTGGTAATAGCTTGGAGGATACTCYATGAAAGGTAAACTTAAAAGGGACACGTTCCGTGAACTGCTCAATAGATCTGTCGAATGGCACGACTAAAAAGTCCACKGTTGATTTYACTTTAAGTAAATTGTAATAGTGTGTGACACACCAACAAAACAAAGAACATCTTCAAGGAAAAAGAGCTATAAAGTGTTTTACGCTAAAGTGTAATTCAAGGATTTAGCGGAATAACCGGTGTCTAAGAGACAATTGTTAGTCGGTAGGGTCAATTGATAGATGACCATTTTAAGCAGGTCTTCCTGATCTTAACGACCAAAAAGAAAGACGGATTTTTAGATAATGAAATTTTGCTTTTGCTTTCTCCTAACCCGCCAAAGTATAACGTTTTAATAAAGAAATATCGGGAATTACACTTACTAGATGTGAAAAAAACACATAGGCTTATTAAGCATAAGCATAATCATTGTGTTTGTGTTTGCGCAAATGTTTGGGCCTACGCTAAATCACTTTCATATTATTTATCAGCAGTTTTTGACTTTGGTTTAAAATTTCAAATTATTTACACAGTGATACGGTGATTTCAAGGCCGAATCCAGGGCCGGAGGGGGAAGAATAATTAGATTGGCTAGCGAGAACACGTGTGCAACCACGTATTGCAGATCATGAGCTTCCTCAATTCACAAAGCATGATACTTTATCAATTTTCTGATCTAATCATTTTGCTTTTTATATAATTTGACGTAGGATCTTCTAATTGGTTAAATAGATGAGTTTCAAAGTACAATATTGTCTAACAGACATAGTTAAGCTGGTGGATATTCAGTGATTGGGAGAACATTTAAGATGTTACCAGCAAAGCTGTTTACGGACATAACAATACAAGAAAGGCGTAGCAATACACAAATTAGAAATGTTAAAAAAGTGATCTAGACGCAATAAAAGGTAAAGCAACCAAAAAATACAATAAACTAAGTGTATAATTGAAACTATTCCTTTTTTTGACGACTACTAGTCAGAAATTCACCTGTAAAGGTTGACAAAAAGGCATTTATTTTTTTTGAGAACAGTCAATCGACTACAGCACAATCTTTCACCAGTGAAAGATTGTCAAAAGGGAGTTTTCAACAATACTCTCGCCGGAGAGGTTATCTGAAAAGACACATTGCATGAGCTTCACGAAGACAAAAAAGTTTAAATTTWATGGAGAACTATTCCTATTGGTCAGTTGCYTCTGATCGTCCAACGTATGCAGTTTGGAGTTCGATCGCGTCTCGGTGATGATTGTTATTTATTAATGCCTTTCCCTTAAACTATCTGCCGAATAATTTGAATATAGGTTGTTTAAAAGGAAAGTAAAATTTTCAAAATTTTAAAATAAGATTTCTATTTACGAAAAATAGATATACAACTATATAACTCTCTGGATGGGATTTTAGTTGGTATTTGATAATCGTAAAGAACAACCTGAGACAGCAATGCACATGGACAACCAGCTTTTCSTCYCACAAACCTTGGAACTTGACTGAATTGAATTACCATAGCTGGTAGATGACATAGAAAACCTACTATTCAAAAAGTTTCACACTAATCGATCTAAGGTGAGAAGTGAGAAATTTCAGATATTTTGAATAGCAAAATCAGATTTTTTTATTACATGTTGTAGTGGACATATATAAAAAGYGTTCAAATATTCCCTTTTAAAAGAAATGTGTGAACTATTCCCTAAATTTATGATTACTTCACAGAGCGACCATAATTTTCGACTCATTGTATTGATGTCTACGTTTATTTCATGCAATTAATTCCTTTACTTTACATTGCCTTTTAGCATCAACATGCTTCAATACTGATTGATGAATTAAGCTTARCGATGCAGGCGATGACGTTTKGCTTGRTCACGGCGGTTCTTCTCCAACAACATCGAGTGGACATCTCTTAGTGCGTTGTCGAGATCTTCTCCTCGCCAGGATGTCTCCCAGTTCTTCCTCGGATCTGAACAATAACAGCTAAAAACTTTACGCTGGCATCCTTGCCATCCCCATCTAGTGCCTGATTTGTAAGCATAAGCCTCTTTCTTGATCCCTCCAGCCTTGAGTTGAGTGTCTTTGTATCGTAAACAAGAATCACCATAGCATGCGCACCAGAAGGCATCTTTATAATGGCAGTCATCGTCAACATGACATCCTTCTGGACCAAGCTTGCATACGTACGTTGGGGATTCTGGGTCGCTCTCTTCAGCAAGGTCGAATTTCTGGATTTCTTTACCGTTGCTGGTTTTTTTGTAGGTGCAGCCAAAATGGAGAAAGCCTTTGTAAAACTGCTCCAAATTAGCTGCTTTAGCGTATTGCTCCTTTCCAACATACCTTTCGATCAAGAAAAAAAATAAAATACACAGTGACAGTGCATCTTTGTAGTAATATTATGTGTGTGTTCCCTTTAAAATTTAATGCTTACAGAGTTAAAGTAGCAAATAACATTTTTACTACATATGATAATTTTCTCGATTTCTGATTGGTCGAGAGGCGTGGTAAATAAAAGCTCATACCAAGGTCGCTACTTTGATCGCGATTGACTTTAATGATAAACAATGGACTTTCCCGACTTTCCCGATTGATACTTTAATGAAAAACAATGGACTTTCCCGACTTTTCTGTCATTGGAAATTTAATTCCTGACTGGGCATACAAAGCGAAAAAAGTATGTATCATGATATGTTGAAATAAATGTTTTGGTTAAGTTTGAAATGAGATTTCAGTTATTCTTTTAGCATGCAAAACGCGCGCAGTACTGGTAAAACAATTATTTGTGGTAAAAACAAATTCACGATAGTTTCTTGTGGTATGTCCTCTTATTTACCACAGTTGTGATCATCTCATCGTCTAGACTTCGTCTAGGCGTCAACAATCTAGACGATTCGATGACCCAACTCTGGTAAATAAGAGGACATACCACGCGAAACTATCGTAAATTTGTCAAATATTAAACAAAAACCAGTTTGAAAACTTAACACGATAGAATGAACATTGCAAATTGTGTACAACGTTATCACGTTGGAATTACCTGACTTTCAAAAGCTCCCATATTGGATAAAAGTAGTATTGAATAGGCGACGGGTCGGTTTCTGCTTCCTTCAAAAACTTCTTGATCTGCTCTGCTTTAAGTTCACCCGTCAATTCTGCCCTTGTCTCCAATTTACCACCTCGAACGACTAGCTTCTTTGTCATCGATTGTGAGGAGGATTTCTCTATGTCCTTTTTAGTCACTCCCGCACAAGCAGAAACTTCTGCTTTTCCTGCTTGCGTTGGACCAGCTAATGACACACAGGCCTTSACAGTGAAGTCTTTCTGGCTAAACTTCTTGTCGGATTTGGCAAACACATATTGATAGATACTGGACCCTGAGATCGATTCTTTAACAAAATGGGATCCGTACTTCGACAAAAATACCTTGTATTGTTTCCAAGAGGTAATCTTCCAGGGTTGATCAACCTTACTGGGGAGAGCTTCAAAGGCTTCCACGAGATCTTTTACCAAGGATTTCTTGTTAATGCAGTCTTTCTTGAGCGCAGATGACAAGCTATAAGCTCTGATATTAAGCGACAGACCTTGAACTTCGGTTTCTGATGAGGCAATGTTGTTTGTAACGGCGTCCACGGATGCACCAAGAGTGTATGTACCTTTTAGGCTCCCACTGACCTTAGTATTGGTAGAAATGGAATTGTAAAGGGACTCAGTACTGCTATAGAATGAATCATCCTTTTGGATAGCACCGAGTTTATCAGTTTTTGTACATTCGTCCATTGGAAGGTCCTCGAAGATCTTTGCTCCCGTTCCTTTGAATTGCTTGGTTAGTAAATCTTCTTTATGGATTTCAAATCCTTGACCAAGGGCTCCTCTCGATGTTACGGAAGGTTCTGCTTTTATTTCAATTTTCTCTGGTTTCTCTTCAGCAGGGTCAAATTGTGGCTGGTGGTGGGGATCGTCTTCTACTGTTCCACATTGCACTACTACTGCGAAAAGGAGTAGTAGCAAAATAGTTGTAGTTTTGAAATGTAGCCTCATAATTGTATGTCCCAGAAAAAAACTAGAATCAAAGAAAATGCATTTTTTAGATAACATATACTTTTAGCACTAAAAAAAAACTGAAGTCAACCAGAAAATATTACCAAAGCAATATTTTGCAGTTATGAATTAAAGAGAATCTTCACTATAGCAGTGTCGATCTTGATAGAACATAAAATGTCATTAACGTTCACCTCTACCCCAAATAGCTATTAGTAAAATGTGAATAGCGAGCGTTAATGTACCTACCCATCTGATTTAAAGCCAATCATGTTTTTCCTTTGAGTTTACCGTGGATTTCTCCAATTGGTTTCTCAAGTCAGAGGTATAGTAGTGATGTGTCTATGCACGTTGATTGGTGGGTTGGGTCAATTGACAGACGACCAGTCAAACGTCTTACCATGTCTACGGGTTCCTTGACAATAAATGAAACGTATACTAAAAAGAAAGGAAAAATAGGAAAGATTCACCACCGAACTTGGTGTTGTAGACGAGACCAAAGTACACCTCGTTAACTAGACCGTTGTGGTCATACACCCTAAAAGTTTGATTTGTAAAATATCAACGAAAGATATTTAAAATAACGTCCAGTCTTCTGGTAACTTATAGGAAAGTTGTTTAAAAAAAGTATTATTCCTTGTTAAATTAATGGCCTGTATATTCAAAATAAGAAAGCCATTGTTGTTGATTTAATCATTTACTAATTTATTTTAATAGTCTGTGTTGAAATTAATGTTTTCATTAATTGTTTTAAAAGTCAAACTTTTAGAGAGATATGAAAATAACAAAGGAAGGCGACTTGACTTGGTAATGAAGTTGAGGATATTTTGATGTCCTGCAGGTAAAAGTGAAAGGGTCATGTTCCTAGCATGATGCAATAGTTACTATCTGTCGATTGAACCAAAAGATTTTACGACTAGTGTGTAATAATGTGACACACCAAAAATGAGATCGTGTGGAATCTCACAAGCAGTAAAAACACAAAAATCTCAAAACGTCAACCAGAAATCACAACAACAAAAAGTTTGAACAAACGTAACACAAAACACAGGTATACACATACAGCAAACGTTTGATCTTTGAGTTTTGGATTGTGGTAAAGTTTGTGCTTAAAGTTAAGTTGGTTTTCATGGTGTTTTTTGATTTTTGTGTCAGAAATCCTATAGTAGCTGCACAATTATGTGTTTGTGCTGCGTATATACTATCTGTGTAGTGGAATTTTTTTACAGCGTAATTCTTGTCGAACAAAAATCTTACTTCCAGAGGATTTGAATTGGCTTCATTGCAATGTATGTCGATTTAAATGTGGAGGATCCCAAAGGCGGACACCAGGTGGCTGTTGTGACTAGCGAGGAAACGTGTACATCCACCGTAGCGCAGAATGGACGTTCCTCTTGGGACTACATAATACTGAACCAACTTTTCCATGCTGAAATAATTTTTATATTTTAATTATTTTAACGCGGGATGTTCTAAATGTGGCTTGTGGATGTTCATGTGGGTGGGAGAACAATTAAGATATTACCAGTATAAGGTGTTACAGTCTCGGTGGATCACATAGCAATAAAAGCGTTAGCAAATAGACAATAAGAGATATTAGAGAAATTAGAGAAATGAACCGGGCACAATAAAAGAAAAAATAACAAAAATACGATAGTGAACAATTAATTTCTTTAAATAGAGCTTTTGTGACGAATCCACCTGTAAAGGTTGACAAAATGCCATTTACAGGAATAGCGAGTGACTACTTCCTATTCGTTCACTATTGAAGGTTGCAATTTGGAAATTTTCAAACAATAGGGAGAGGTCATCTGAAAAGACAAATTGACTTCGCAAAGACAAAAAGTTTGAATTTATACTAGATTAGATAGAGCAGATTGAGTAGCATGAAAAAAAAATGAACAATCTCGCGAACGTGCATGGTATGTATTTTTATTTACCACGGCTCTCGAACAATCAAAAACCGAGAAAATATGCAATTGTGGATAGAAATCGTTCTCGGGCTGCCGATACAACGCAGGTCGGATCTCTCCTATTAGCTGTTAATTTTTGGATCACACGATTGATCTGTTGCTACTATGGAAATATTTGTAACAATATCCAAAGACAGCATCTGAAAAAAAAAGACTTCTGAAAGACAATAAAAACATCTTTGATTTAATGTACAACTAGTGAGTGATCCCCTTCTCGAAGAAAGTTTAAGGCGTTTCTACTGGCTATCTGAGGAAGGTTGGGGCGAGTTAATGATGCCGGCTCGACATAAAAAAAACTTCTGAAAATCGTTGATTCCACTCAAAGAGATGGCATAAAAACTCAAATTTAGACATTTTATCTTACTAAAACCTCTTTTTCTACAAACAATCTACTGAAATCCCCAATTATTCTGTGCCTCAGGAATATCCACAACACCGATTTAGTGGGGCTCTTTGCGGAAGCGCTACATTTTGGCGATCACTATAATGCATCATGAGACGTATCAYTTTTACAGTAATAACACTGAACTCTCTTGCATGTATCAAGCAAAGATTATTTTACTTTCGGTTACTTGAAAAWAAAATCCGGTTTATTGATTTTACTTCTTATGCCAGGAGAATACATGTTCTTATCATGCAATAATCAGCAAAGATTGAAACGGTTCTGTTATTCTCTACTGAAGAAATAAGTGATTGTTTTTCTTCCTCTCAGACGGAATTAATTTTTTTAAGTGATTTTTGATTTTTTGTATTGATATCAAACTTTATCGCAGTTAATTGAATTCCTTTACTTTACATTGACTTTTAATCACCAATGATATAGATTAAGCTTAGCAATGCAAGCGATGACGTTTGGCTTGGTCACGGCGTTTCTTCTCCAACAACATCGAGTGGACATCTCTCAGTGCGTTATCAAGGTCATCTCCTCGCCAGGCTGACATCCAGTACTTCCTCGGCTCTGAACAATAACAGCCTTTGGCAAACCAATACTTGCATCCTTGCCAGCCCCATCTAGTGCTTGCTTTGTAAGCATAAGCCTCTTTCTTGATCCCTCCAGCCTTGAGTTGAGTGTCTTTGTACCGTAAACAAGAATCACCATAGCATGCGCACCAGAAGGCATCTTTATAATGGCAGTCATCGTCAACATGACATCCTTCTGGACCAATACTGCACACATACGTTGGAGACTCTGGGTCACTGTCTTCAGCAAGTTCAAATTTCTGGATTTCCTTGCCGTTGATGGTTTTTTCGTGAGAGCAACCAAAATGGAGAAAGCCTTTGTAAAACTGCTCCAAATTAGCTGCTTTAGCGTAGTGCTCGTTGTCAATATTCCTAGCGATCAAAATTATGAAATACACAATGAATCGTTTAAGTAATGATGTATGACTTTTACCATTTAAAGTTTTGAGTCAAAGTACCAAGAAGCTTACAGCAGGAATAAATGAACTAAAAACAGTTGGAAAAAAAATTTTAATTAAAAGCGGTTCGAAAGTCCGCAAAGACAAAAAAAATGAAATAACGTTATCATGTTACATGAATAATTCTGCTAAAATTACCTGACTTTGAGAAGGTCCCAAATCGGATGAAAGTAGTATTGTATAGGTGATGGGTTGGTTTCTGCTTCATTTAAAAACTTTTTGATTTGATCTGCTGTAAGCTCACCCGACAATTCTGCCCTTGTCTC